TCCTCATTTGTGTTGACATTGTAGCTTAAGCCTATAGCTGTTGGTTTTAACAACAGCGAAATTTTTTGGTAATTTGGCAATATTTTTTTGTAGCAAAATTTGTTCACGAATTCAATCCGCGCCTCTGATTCCTGTGTATCTTGGATTGTACTATATAGCTCCAAGAAACAAGGTTGATCAACAACGGAAGTAAAAAACCACGAATTGCATCTTCAACTTTGTCAAGATAGTTTTTTGTACGCATAGGTAGCTTGGTGTGATTATACGATGCAAATAAGTTTTCAACATAATTCGCAAATATAAGCGCTACTTTTTGTGGCACTTGTGAACTATAAGGCTACATTAGCAGTATAATTACATGTTCTGAGACGTTTGATCAGCAACGAGTTCAGACTGCTGATGCTTTTTTATTCATCAATGGAGCCATAAAAAGCTTTTTTTCATAAAAAGTTTGATAGTTAAATCCAATTTCAGAAATTTTTCATCATCTATTTGCGAGATTTTGAAATGCATATTTTATACGCAATTTGTTTTTATATATTCTTACTTCTTACATCCAAGTTAGTGTGATGTCCTTTAGTCTAAAACATTTCAACTTATTACATGTAAAAAACCCTTATGGTCAAAAGAAAACGCCGTCCTTTTGGCACACTAAGGTCCAGGGTCAGAATCCTTGCCGAAACTTTTTTTTTTAAATTAACTTTACAATTGAAATTTTTCCGGTAAAAAATGACTTTTCGTTCTTTCGTTCATTTTGCGGCATAGTTGCCAGATCACGGAAGCGAGTATCATGGCTATAAACAAGTATCATGGTAGTTAGTGTTGAAGTCTAAGGGAGACTTGAAACTGCTGAAAGTTTCTTAGAAAAATAAATTCGTTGGCTCAATTTGTGTCTGCTCATAGATTGTCGACTTTGTTTGTTTCAGCTTTGTAAACTTTGTCTCCGCTGCTATTTTAAAAATCAAGTATCTTGCTTGGAATTTTTGGCTAGATGTTTTGCTTGATAAAAACGGGTATAATGAAAGTGTATGTATTTGGGTGTTTTTTGTTGAAATGCTTCGGAAAATTTTTCTAATTTTTGCAAAGGTTTTAGTTCACTCCAAACTATTCTTTAATTTTTCAAAAAAAAAGTATCAACGAAAGACCTCTTACTCCTCAGTGTGCTTGTATACTTCTCGAGCCTATTTTTTCACCTCTCTGTCTACAGCCTTCAAAAAAGTCTGCGTGGGAATATTTGACCAATACTGTTTTTGTGTTTTTTTTTCCGAAAAACTACCCTCCCAAATCGAAAATTACCTTCCAAAATTTCTCCAAAACAACCCTCACCCCTTGCATCAGCGGCTGCGCACAATTTTTTACACAAAAACTTATGGGCGTCTGAATAGTCAAAGTTTTGAAAATTTAACCGTTTTTTGAATCTTTTTGACTTTTCTCTTGAAAAATTTTCCCAAAATCTGAGGTTATGGGCTCAGTAGAGATAGCGGCTAATGGTCAGCCCTCAACCATTAGCGGACACTTATAAAATCTTTCACACAAAAGTTTTCGCCCTCGGATATGTCAATCGTTTGGTTTTTGACAGTTGTTTTTAATTTTTTGAGTTTTCTCGAAAACTATTCTATCAAATCTGAGATAAAAAGTTCAATCTAATGAACCCGTTGCAAAGATTTTTCCTGCAGAAGCGGCGACTCTCTAGCAATTTGCTTAAGAAATTGATAAGTCCTTGGGGAAGTTTTCTTTGTTCTCAATTTTTTTTTTGTAGAGAAACGATTAAAGTTTTGGGCAAAGCACAATTTTGAAATTACCTATTTCATCCCGAATCAATATAACAAATTCAAAAAACCAAAAAACTAATTCCAGCTCTAACTGGGCCCCTAGCTATTTTCTATCGAGTCATAAAAAATCATGATTCAACTAGTTTTTCATTGTTTTCATTTTTCCGATTTTATGTTTTTTTTTGTTTGTGTTGTAGCACGGTTTTGGCTCTGTTTTGTTGTGTTTGTGATGTCTGTTTTTGTTTGTGTTGTAGCACGGTTTTGGCAAACGGTTTTGTTTTTGGAAGTTCCCAGCAGACTTAGAAAAATAATTGATGATTCAGTTTACTCAATTTGGGGTATTATCAGACATGAAGAATTCTATAAACGCAAGATGTTTTCGAACGATAAACCGTTTCTTTTTTCGAAGTTCACTACCTTTTTCTTTTTTTTTCTAGTTTTGTTAACACGCCCAAAAGTTAAACAAATTTGAATAATTATTTTTGTTGCTTTTAAGAGTCTATTGTTTTCTTCCTATAAATAGGAGATAGAAATTTCCGAGATTCAGTTAACATCAACATATTTACAAACTTTGGCCCATGTTTTCGTGTCTTATTTTTTTGTTAGTTTTTGACTTTTCGATTTCTGGCTAGTTGATATCACCCCAAGTATTACTATAAAACTACTGGTTGATGTTACTATGAAATATCATTACACCCGAATGGTTGATAATACTATAAAATAGTTAATGATTTGATGTTCAGAAATGAAACTTTTCGAGTTTAGTTGAGGTAACTTTCTGGAAGTAAAACACACTTATCTTAAAACAGCTAAAATTTTAAGAGTGGTTATTGAGAAGCAGATCGGCCTTGAGTAGACAAGGAACTGAACTGTCGATTAAGATGGAAAGTAAAATAAAAAAAAGAGTGACACGAATAAATAGAACGCAATTTGGTGCGTAACTGAGAAAGTGAACAAATTTGGCGGAAAAAATAGACATTCAGTTTGTAATCTAATTGCATAGAAATTACCAGTCTGGATTTTTTTAGACCCGTCTATTACAGACCCGTCTTCTTGTAATTCATCAGAAAGCCAACAATCAAAATGCAGAGAGAATTGAACATCAAATTCTACCTAAAACCAACGTCATCGTTCTACCTAATTGCCATTTTGCCAAAATTAGTAAGTGGGTCAACTTGCAGAAAATCAGAATTTTTTATTTGATTAGCTGCGTTTTTTCAAGCGCTAAGGCATTGCTGCTCGTGAAAAGTTTAATAGTTTATAGATAATTCTTTTACTGCAGGTGTTTTGCTGTTTAAGTCTGACTTTTTCTTAGATAAAACACAGGTTGTGTAGGTGAAGTATAAAAAGTACTATATTGATTCGTAAAATCAGTCCTATATTCTCTAACTACCAATTCTAAAAGATCTGAAGATATAATATAACCTCAGATGGCAATTAAAATATTGTTCCCGCTTTTCCGGCAAACCGACACATGGGCTCATTAGATTTTTTTCCTTAGATCGATTGACGCGACTTTGTTTGAAAATATTGAGCTTTTGAAAAAAACGGATTGCTCTAGTTTTTGGTTTTTCAAGTGTAACCCTCCACTTTCCATATAAAGCCCAATGTGAAAAAGTTTGCGTCTGTTTTTAAATGTAAACTGAAACTATAAATGCAGTAAAACCAAAGCCAAAAAAGAAAACATGGCCAAGCGGTCTAAGCGGAAGTCCAAATCTAGTTCGAGCTCCCCTCCCTGGCGTAGGTTTGCTACGAGCCCCCCTCCCTGGGGTAGGTTTGAAAACAACGAGCTCATAAAAAAAAACGGATTGCTCTAGTTTTTGGTTTTTCAAGTGTAATCCTCCACTTTCCATATAAAGCCCAATGTGAAAAAGTTTGCGTATGTTTTTAAATGTAAACTGAAACTATAAATGCAGTAAAACCAAAGCCAAAAAAGAAAACATGGCCAAGCGGTCTAAGCGGAAGTCCAAATCTAGTTCGAGCTCCCCTCCCTGGCGTAGGTTTGAGCTCCTCCTCCTCCCCCCCCCCCCCCCCCACCAAGGCCATATAGCCATTTAGTTGTTAATACGTAAAGGGTTTCGATGGCTTACCTTATTTTTACTAGTATTGCGTAATTATTACGTAATAGTTATGCAATAATTACTTAATAATTACGTAATTGTGTTAAAGCTACGAAAGCCCGTATACCCTACCCTTATAAATGTAAACCAAAAAACCAATCGATTTTGACCTTGTTTGACCTCGAAAAAACAGTTTTTTGGCTACTAATTTTCGTGTTTGCTG